GAAACCCTTGTCATCTTTTGACCAATGGACTGAGACATGCCCTCTCCAATCAGAACTGCATGAATTATATCCTCATTTGCAGCTACACTGACCAATCAAAACTGCATGATTTAGACCAATTGGAACTGTCCAGTTTGGAAAACTCGTTTACAGAAAATAGACCAAAATGGGAACTGTGGGCAGGAAAATTCTCTATAAAAGGTGACCTCCCTTTTGTCTTGGTAGAGCACAATTTAGGTTGCTGTCTAAATATGTGTCTCATAGCTGCAGCTCTTTTTCTCAAATAAATGCTTTTTTTTTACTCCTTATTATAGTCTAAATTTAATTTTGGTCAATAAGGCTTTGCCCACTTTTGGTGATTATCTACCTTTATCTTAATTTACAAATATTCCACTGCTCATTGTAAACCAGTCCCCTTCTTCTTAACAGTTGAGGCCTGCAAACTGAAGTCTTCTTTTCCCCAATCAAGACATTCTACCACAAACAGTGAAGTCAGCTCTCAGGTTGTAGTCTGTGAGGAGACAGAGGAAAGAGGTGAGGGTGGGGAGGCAAGGAGAAGGGAAGAAGCAGTTGGGAATAAATCAAGGGTCTGTAGAGCAGGATTCTAGCTCTGCCTCTCACTCTTCAGCTGGCATACCTCCCCTCTGTGCCTCAGTTTCCTCGCCTAAGAGGAACTGGACTAAATGAACTCTAAATTTCCTTCCAGCCCAGACATAAAATTGCTGCCCCATTCCCATACACCATCCTACCTGCCCTCACCGCTAACTTGACATGAATTTTCTCTGCACACCTGTAAAGAGAAATTGGTGTTGGAGGGATGGGAGTGGAGGGACTCAGTGAGATGCTGGAATCCTGCACGCCCCCTTCCCCATCTCCTACCTCCAAGCAGCCTTCTTGGGAAATCTGACAGGTTTTCCCCTCACGTTTGTTCAAGATACATACGAGTAGATTGCAAAACCAGTTTTGATTTGGTTTTCAGTGCTTAGAAGCTTATAAGAAACATACTTCAAGAGGTAAAATTTCTCATGAAAACCAGGTGTGTGTGTGTCTGTGTGCGTGTGTGTATGTGTGTGTGTTGGGAAGGAGCCAACCCAGGCCAAAGCTAGAGAGGAATAGAAATACTAACACTCCCTTCTCTTTCGCGTTCCCTCTGTTTCTCTCCAAACCTCCACTCTGCAGCTTCAGCCTCCTAGAGAGAGGGACACCAGATGATCTTTAAGGTTACTTCCAGCTCTAAAATTTTGAGCAGTTCTAATTTTATTTATTTGAGCCTTCTCTCTTTTCTCCTTAGTGAATATAGACAGAGGTTTGTTAATTTTGTTTATCTGAAAAGAACAAAGAACCAGCTCTTTGTTTCATTAAGTTTTCTATTGTCTTTCTGTTCTCTATTTTATTTATTTTTTCTGATTTTTATTATTTTATTTCTTCTACTGACTTCGGGCTTCATTTGTTCTCTTCTATTTATTTAAGGTGTAATGTTAGATTGTTTATTTGCGATGTTGTTTGTTTCTTGAGAGA